GTTAAAATTTTTGAAGTTAGTTTAAAATACTACATAGGAAGAATAAGATGGTGTAGCCTTATGTTTGGTTGCAGTCTCCCTCGTTTGGCGTCATTTTCGCAACTTGGTTGAAGTGACAGCTAGACTGTGTAACGTACCTACTCCAGCGTCCTCTGTCATAGTCTTTCTGATAATTTCCAACATCGGACCGAGCAAGTTGCGAAAGCGGGGTCAAACAAATATTATTACTTTGTGCTCATAATAGCCCCAGCTAGACCCGGTAGGAGCAGGTAAACCAATATAATTCTTTTTCCGTATGAACAATTCGGCCTAAACGAGATTGGTGTATCTGATGGATATTAATTCAAGCCTTCTACAACCTGTTTTGGGGGTCTTGTACATGAGCCAGCAGTACACCCCAAGGTATTATTTCCAGAATTATCCTAGACAAAATCGATGTTAAAATTAAAGGACCATATCAACGACTTACCATAGACTCTAAGATAGAAACGCCACTATCAGAACATGCAAAGGTAACCTTTTAGTGATGATTTGCTCTATGATATGTAATTACTTCTTTATTTTGGTGAAAATAGCGTACAAATGTAAGTCTTCGTGCTTTACCTTTAAAAAATGTGCACTTGCAAGATGACGATAGACGCGTCACGGATATGAGATAGGATTTATGATAAATAGAAATAACAATATATAGAAAATAATAATAAGAATAATGTGTGGAAAAAATGATGTCCAACTAAATAAGGAAAGATTAAATGACCAAATCATTCAGATGCTACTTTAATATGAAATACTTAAAAGCCCACCTGCGACATGATAGAAAGAAGAATAAATGACTTCATTCTAAAGTCCAGTCTGTCAGAGTGCAAAGCCTTGGCAGTCATTGCGAAACAAGTGAGGTGTTACTCCTTTCTGAAACGGGGATTAGCATTGACTGGGATGATTGTTGGGTAGACGCGTCCTGATGAATTGTGTTGCTCCCCTTGCCATTGTCGCCGTTGTTACAGCCACCACAGTCACTGCAAGGACCTAAAGCATTAGTGTCCAAATTGCGGGCCGACGAAGTCTGAGCTCGAAAATCAAGCATCTCAATGAGACACTGGATTTCTCTCACAGCCTGCCGACGTCTGTTACGGAGAGCCTCCACACCCTGTGTGTCGACAGCATCTAAGTCCAGAATAAGTCTATCAAGTAACTCCATTAAACGAATAAACTCCTGGTCACCCGGGGTTCCTGCATAGAAAAGAATACGGTTAGTAGATGAAAAAGTGGTCTTGTGGAATTCGCACAAGTCATTCATTTTTATGCTTATATAAGTAAAAAGAGAGAATTTAAAATCAAACAGGATAAATCATATAAAAGTCCATATAATTGGGGATTATTGATTACATAAGTTTATAAGAGACGAAATTTTTAGTGATTGCGACTCAAGTGGGTGAACTTCTGGCAAATTTTAAAAAGACGAATATTGGGTAGCTTTTTAAGGACATGCGAATCATTTAAAGGTAAAGCGACTACTTTTTTATTCAAGACAAGCTATACTTTAAATAATTATAAAGATCGAAGACATTGTGATGAATAAAGGAATTGAAAAGTTGTTAGCAAAAAAAGTTAATTAAGTAGGTGGAGGTTGAAATGAAGGAGAGGAGGTACAAACATAAAGTTTTACAACAAAAAACTCAAGGCAAGGCAGTTGAGCGTGAGTATGAATAAAGACCTAGGCATGAATATTACAGTTTCTAATGATATTAGTAGGTTCTGTCCTAGTTTTTGGACATATAAATTGGGATTCAATGGCCAGTCTCAAAAATGCACCACTTGTCAGAAGCTACTAGAGTAAAAGTCCTCCATTCAGACAAAAAGCCTTAATTTATATTCACGGGACTGACAAGTTGCAAAAATTCGATCAATGATTATGAAAAATGTGCGGGAGGTAAGAGGAATAGCCCGACACGGTAAGATCTTATAGTAGTGACTGAAATGTAAGAACGACCACTATTGAAAATAAAAGACAGCATTTTCCTATAATAATTCTCATTAAGAACCTATCTTCCTAAACCACCTATGCCTAAGCTGATAAATCATTTAAAATATAACCATTGTAACTGTGAAGAGATCTCTCATAGAACGTAGGTAAAATAAGCTCAGATTAATAAAAAAAAATAGGCTTTGAGACCATCAGAACTTTTATTAAAGCGTTAAAAATACAAGGAAAGGTAGGATTTGAGAATCAAATCTAAAAGAGCTTTTCTCTTACGATAATAAACTTAGGAAGTTGGATGACACTTAGGACAAAAGAAATAAGCAGAACAATATTATATCATAAAGATAGCATTAAATATTATCGTAGCAAAAGTTCTTTATAAGAATATTTTTACTTTGCTGCACCAAAACGTAAGAAATACCTTGAGGTGAGTGGTTAAAACGATATTTTACCGATCGGATCCCTAAATTGCAGTGATAATGAGCTACAATTCATTCCTATAATTGATAGCCACTTGAAGATAATACATAAGAATAAGAGAGTTAATAGCATGACGAAACTTGGGTAATATAAGTAATGTTAAGGGCAACAAGAAGAGCATTTATAATTATTGATAAGATAAATTAAGTATGACAAACATTTGCAGGCTTAACACCATTCAAAAAAAACATATGGAAAGATCAAACCCATTTAACACATACGCAAGCAAATAGGAAGCATGTAATAGCCAGCAAAATATGAATATCAAGATGGTGTGGTCTTTTGTATAGCCATGGTCTCCCTTCGTTGTATAGAAGTTGTTTGCGAAAACAGGGCCAAACAAAATCATGGGAAGCCTGATTATGAGTTCAAAAATATACTATAAAAAGGGTAAGATCGCAGCCGGCCCACATTCTTGGCTTGACGTTACTAAATTTCACACTAGCGATGTCAGTGATACAGCAGAATATATAGGTGGCAGTCATAATGGTAAGCCGGGTGTTTAGTTGCAAAACTACACTTTTCTTAACATATGAAATTAGAATGTCTGTTCATACTAATGATTGAGGACATGTTTCAGAGTAGTTTACCAGGATGCACGATGAATAGCCAGTATAAAAGTCTGCCTAAAATAAGATTTAAATAAAACCTCCTTGGTCTTTGATAAGATCTTGCCAAGAAAGATAATCTGATAGAAACTTTCAGGGTCTGTTAGACTGATATAACAAACCCTGAGGAGCCGATTTTCAGTGATCGGTCCAAAGACACTTTCAATATTACGTCTATACGGCAGTATCTTCGAGGAAATATTTGGACTACCGATGGGATCTCCACTCTCAGATCTTTTGGCAAATGTATACATGGACAGATTGGAAAAGGAATTCGAGAAGTAACCACTGCAACCAAGAGTGCTTA